CTTTGGGTCTATATAATTATGTGGCTGATTTGCTGCTATTGGAGCAAAATGACTCTTTAGAAGAGGAGGGGAAATTCATGTGGAGCTATGGACTTCTTTAAAAAAAAAATCTTAAACCAAATACCAGCATGGAGACACATCCCTGCCATTTGGTGGGCTCCAGCAGTGTTTTATAGAAGCTGCTTCTGTCCGAGATACCCGAGCTGCAGAGAAGTTACAGTCAGGGAACTTTACCGCAAGGAAAGAAAACCAAGTGCGTAGAAAGAAAATCAAGGGTGCTAATGCCCGAGTCCGAGTTAACCTGCTCATGCAATGCAGTGAACCACAGCAGGTTCATTCTGGGTTCACTCTGTCTGCTGATTAACTCACTGCATAGCTGGTTCTTCCTCAGTAGCTTTAGATTTCAAAGCAAATTTTCCACAAACATCCCTTAAGAATTCAGTTACCCCTGATTCCCACAGACCCCTACTACTTAGGCTAGTAGTTTAAAATATATTTTTATGTATATATATTTATATATGTATATATTTATATGTCTATATATCTATCTAGCCCAGATAGATATATACACAGATAACCTGTGCACAGCAAGCCAAACATACCAAAAATAAATACTCTCACCCCTCTAATATATTTACAGAACAAATCTTATATCCAGATTTTGTTAATAAATATTCTAAACGGCTTGGATAGACTTTTCTTACTTATGTTGGTAGATAGCCACAAAGCAAGTTTGATGTATTTACAAAATCTCTACAAATATAGTTTTAAAATGACGCATAGCTACTGACCCTGGGGCCTGGCTGGTTATGTACAGTGAGTTAGTAGCTCAGCAGTAGCCTCTTCACTATCATGAATGGGTAGTGCAACAAGTTAAAATGTGTATAAAAGATTATACATACAAAACTCTCACATCCTTTGGATGTTTGCAGTTCATTATAACTTTGTGGTTACCCTTCTGCAACATAAATAATAAGGGGAAAAAAGTAGGTGGGATCCATGATCCAAAGCGAATCTGTTCAGTGCATATAATTGTCAGGTATGGTACTGGAGCAGTGAGCTGGTCCTCATGGTAACCCATCATCTTCCAGACTTAATGCTACACGCTGTGGAAGAAGGAAGACACAGTAGCAGCAAATGCTTGAGTCATACATCCCAAATCATTTTCATCTCTTTGGACTGGATGCTGAGGTACCAATCCGCACCTTTTGTCACAGTGATGTCACTGGAGTGAGGTATTTGCATGGGAAAGGGGGTCAGAACTTGGCCTATTGTGCCTCTCACTCCCCACATCAGTACATATTCCCTTGCAATACAGAGCCTGGAGAAGCTAAATTGGTCTGATGCTCTTTGGTTTGGAGGTAAGATAGCTGTGCATGTATTGCTGCTATTAGTGCTTGTAAGGCAGCTATTCCTACATCTTGGACAAGCTGGCTGGCTCTTGGAGGGCTACTCCCGTGAAGAAACAATTCTCCCCGGCTTTGTGTCTCCTTAGGTGGCCAGGCCCAAATGTACGGTCACAGGAGAGCCAGAAAAGGTGAGCATTTCCTCTGTTCTGTTGCGTCGTCACCATGTGCTAAAGCCATTTACCTTGACTCCCTACAGAATCCCATTCACTCTTTCCTGTAGCACTTTTGTCTATAATTATATCTAATTACATTATAGGACAAATTGTATTCCCCTAGGAAAAGGAACTGGGTGCTCTTTGGCTTGGCATTAGTAGAATAAAGACGGAAGATGAAAAATAGCACAGCACAAACAGAGTGCAGGCTGGGATTAAGAGAAATTCCTTCTCCACTAGGATATGGCCTAATACTAGGTAGCTTTTAAGGTACATTCATAGTAGCTACACTGTACTCCCTGCTGGCTACCAGTAATGGTGTAGTAACTACAGCATGGTGCTCAGTGCAGGCTGCAAAATCCTCCCAAGAAGCAGAGTAAACACTTGGGTGCTCTGTGCTGCAGCACCCAGATGCCCGCCGGTGTCTCAGTTAGCTTTAAATCGGCTACTTAAGGTATGTCTATGCTTCACTGAAGTGATGGTATAGACACACATTGGGAGCAGTGGTTGTCCTTGTTTTGTCAGCTTGTCTACTGCACACCCCACTGTTTTTGCCATATTGTCTTATTAGTGGTTAGATGCTACAATGGTGGGCATGGTAGACATATCTGAGAGACTTAAATTTCTCACTAGAGTGCCTTGGGATGCGTTTAATCCTGCATCTAACATCACTGAAAATGAAGCAGCTGACTAGGTAGATGCCTAGACTGCAACATGAGCCACATGCATGTGTAACGTTACATCTAATAAGGAGAAGCCCTTGTCTAATATATTACGTTAAGTAACCATAAACATTTGAATAATTCTGATCAGCTGAGAGAATTCTGTACCTAAACTCACTCAACAAGATAAGGCATTTTCTTTGGCAGCTTGTCAGATACTTACTGCTGGATAGACGTGTCCAATCTGTGCAGTCCTCCCAATATGGATCTCATCTTCATCTTCCTCCTCTGTTGTCTTCCTGTACACAGGATTATCAAAGTTCATGCTTTTTGTGTTCTTCCGTTTCCAGTTCCTCCAGATGAGGTACCCTCCCATGCACAGCAAGCCAATGACCACTGAAGAAGAGAAGGATATGTTGTCAGCTGGCTAATTGGGAAGGGCAGAAATTCCCAGACATATTTTCATGTGGACTTCTGTCCTGTGCTCCTCCCCCTGGCCAGACCTGCACTGCATCGTTCTGGGAGCACCAGGAACATCTTTTACCTAAAGGTGCCAGGCTAGTCTTCTCCAAGCCTGAATCAAGCCTACTTACCAACGGGAACTACAATCCCAACAACAGCTGCTGTGACAGTGGAGCCAAAACCTTCTGCGTTATTAGCATCTGTAAGTACAAAAGAATAGTTCTGCTGAACCAAATTGTAATCACATTGTATCTTTACTGCCAGGTCTAAGGATATTTGTAATGTCCAGGGCATAAAATACATTTAAAAAGTATGTGAGCTGTAAATATTGGCATAGATTGTTATAAATATATGACAGGTTGTTACCAATGTATATTGTGCATATTCCACTATATTCACATATACCAGTATACGTCTTTATATGGCACTTGAGAGCTATCAGTGAGCAAAAACATCTAATCATAAAATAACTAGGAGCCTGAACCAGTGGGCTGACATCTTGCTAAATCCCTCAGGATCCTGCTTCTTCCAATATAGCTGTGTCGCCAGCACACAGACCAGTTTCTGAAAAATGACTAACAACATGGAAACCCAGGACCATCAAGCTTAAGCACTCACAGGTGCTCTAAACTGCCACCAAGAGCACAAAGAGGAACCTGATCTAAGAGGTGATGAGATAGCAACTCTAGCTCTCATTGCCAGCGTGGGTCCTGTTTGATGCGAGCTGTGCATAGCTGCCTGTAGCATCAGGCTTTAGTGCCAAGAACACCTGCCTGCCCCACACAGCTATGGAAGAGCTCAGCAGATGCCAGCATTGCCATCTCAGCCTGTCCACGCTGCCCCTGGGGCTGAGGGATCACTCCCACTACTCTGGCTCTGAATGTGCTGTCCCACAACATATCTAGTTTTCTGTTGACCTGGAAAAGCAGGAACCGTGGGGCTCGGAATTGGAGCAGGCCCCCACTGTCAGAGCACTGGAGCATTAAATATTTGCTGAGCATAGGAGGTCTCAGACACTGCCAGCCTCCCAGTCTGAGGATGACTTAATTTGGGCAGAGATAGCTCGAGGGCGCAGTGATCCAGTGCCATGTACTGTTGTTTCTAATACTGAAAATCTTACAGGAATTCCTTGTTTAATGGCTCTTCCTGTTGTTCATAGAATGAGTTTAATACCAGCTGTCGGCGTCTGTACCTCCTCATGGGGTAGCTGCCTCTGGTTCTAAGTCTGAGTCTGTCTGTCTGCTTGCCAGCTTGTGCCTTGGTGTAGCTGCTTCTCAGAGGCAGATAACAGAACAAAAGGTGCTCTGTGCTTTCCAGAGATGGAGACAGTAGGTAAGACTTATCCCAAAAGGGATTCTGATTCTTTCCCCTTGCGGACAGTAATCACACAACCGGAACATGGATTTAACTGACATCAAAAAGAAAATAAATGTGCCTGCATATTAGTAACATTACACCACTGAGAGAGGAAGAGAGGAAAGAGCATATCCACACAGAGATGGGCCTTGCACTGCTGCCTCTGCCAGGGAAGGAGAACAGAAAAGGACTCGGGGTGAGATGCTCAGTGGGTGTGTAGCCAGGTAGTGCCATTGTGTAACGGAAGTGCAGAATGGACACCAGCTGAGAATCTGGTCAGCTGAAGACCATGGCAGCGCTCAGCAAAGCAATCTGTTGTAGAGAAGCAAGTGGTAGACAGATGGCTAAGTGGTGCTATTTGTGCATGCAGTCTGCAGGCAGAAAAGAAGAGAAGCAAAACTTTTAGTACCCTGGCATGGAACGAAAATTGTTCATGTGCATCAAAGGGACTGTAGGCGTCCTTTACGTTACTCAGAACAGCTCCCTCTGGTAGTGACACACAGTGATCTATTGATCAGCCTGGAGATGAACATAGTCCATTGTGCCAGCACAGCAGATTTGAATTAGCCACATATAAGGACTTTGCTAATGCACACATTGTTATTGGCTGTAGTCAAGTTCAGCCTGGGGGGTGACCACCAATTCAACTAGATATTGTGCTCAGAATGGAAAACCAATCCATATGAATGCCTCGTTCTTCAAAACGTGTGCCTTGTGTTCTTACAACAGGAGATTAGTGCTAAGATCAGAAACATGCTGTATTTGCTCAGACAAATCAGGAATAATGAAAGGAAGATTCACTGTGTTTTAACTTCTGAGCCACCAAAGTGTGGATAATAATTTAAATGAGAATTTAGCCTTTTACATAAAGCTCCATGGCGGGTAACTCTGTTTAAAGAGACATTTGCCAGTTAATGAGACGGAGTACATCTAACCTGAACAACTGCAGCACCTAACGTTAATAAAACACCAAGGCAAATAATTTTCATTTGGGGTTTGGAAGAAGTGCACAGGTAATGCCCATAGGAAAGAATTTTAGGAGCTTGATGCTATTTTCCCAGGAGCAGTAGGCACTGTCTTGTGTCCAGTAACATCTTGCCTCAGAGATGAGATGGGGGATAGTTTATTTTTTACACTGCTTCCCAGATGTCTGTTTTCCTCAATACAATGTTCTGCAAAGCCTGAGTTTTTCTTGCTTGTTTTTGAGGTGTCGTGCTGGTGGAACAGGCGCGGCTGACAGTCTTAGAGAATGAAACCCCCTGCTCCAAGCAGAGCAAGTTATTTCTGGAAAGTCAGGTCAGCTTCTCTGCCTTGCCTTGCCAGTGTGCCACAGCTCTGAGGATTATATCCAAGAGTGAGAAGGTAAGTGGCTATTCAGTACCGAACTTCTGCAGGGGCATACACCAAGGGAGCCAGCTAGTGTTCCCTTTCCAGGCCATCTTTTGCAATGCAGAAAGCTGCCCCCCCCAGAATGTTCATTCTAATGCAACACTTTGTTGTCAGGCATGTTTCAGTCTGGATAACATGAACATTCAGGGCACGGGACCAAAACAGATACAGCCTTCTTTACAAATAGGAATCTTGAGTGCTAATAGATGAAGGGCGAATCCTAGCAACTTGGCTGGGTAAGGCCCAGAACAGTTCTACCCGATGCAGTGATTCAGTGGCCCAGGTGACCTGTCTGTATGAGGGCTCCCATTGCTGAGAATACCAGCAGGAACAGCTGTTAGCAATGGTGGTGTGCCCCTATCATAGCAGGGCCTTGCACATGGACTTTGCCTGTACGTGTGTAAACACATGCACTGAACTTTTGCTCACACTAGTGAGCTTTCACTTTCTAAAAAAAAAAATTACGTCTTTTATCAGCGTACTGGCCTGCAAAAATGGAAGACTGGCACAGGAAACAGGTCCTAGCGGTAAATTAATGCTCCTGCACCGACTAGACATCTGGTGGGAGTTCTCTTCTTATCTCTCACCACCTCCATTTGCCTCTCATTGCATATTCGTGGAATAGCAACTTGGCAAAAATAACTCGCACAAAGATTTACTACTCGTACCCATTTATATCAAGCATTTAACTTGCATCAGGACATAGAAGCTACCCAAAATTCCAGCTACACTTGCTCACAAGGGTTTGAGATCAGCCCTGTGCATGTCATGGAAGTCTCAATGTGAGGGTCTTCTCCTCCAGCACCAGCCTTACACCAGGTTGACACTGCAGGAGGGAAGGGAATCAAGTAATGGTTTCTTACGTACAGACCGGAGGCGTGCAGAGAACCAGGGATCCCATCAGTTACCATGAAGGAGAATTGCATACAAAAACATCTTATTACTTCTGCTTATCTGTACGTGCCAGTGTCTACTGTGGTTCCAGCATGGCTAGCCGGCCACACCTCCTCGTGGCCCACAGTACTCTCACTCCTAGCAGAAAGAACAGCAGTAGGAACCTGGTTGTCTTACAGTGCTGAGATAAATTGCTGTTTCCAGTGGTCATTAATTCTGAGCCCAGCAGGATGGATGCAGTTGTGGAGAGGCGAACACTTGGCGTCGTAAGGGGGACTTGTAGCACAGCTCCTGGGCTCTCCATAGTGGCACTGCTGGTGTTGCCAGCGGTAGCAGCGATGGCGGTGGTAGTGCTGGGTGCTGGAGTCGTGGAAGTCAGTACAGTAGTTGAGGTAGCTGGAAGATCTGCAAAGCAACCCCAAGCAGTTAAAACAAGAACAGTGAATGATGGTAAAATGGACTGGGAACAGTGATGCTTAACTACTGGAGCAGGACAGTTCCTGCTCCTACTTGCTGTGTAGTCCACTGCCTGTCAATGCCACTCCTCATCTGTAGAGATAACATGTACCAGTCTCACAAATTGTAATGAGCCCAACTCATTCACAGGTATCAAGGTGATTAAGAAGCTCAAATCTTAGTTATGTGTTGGAAGCACAGGCTCCCAGAGAACAGAGCTCTCCCCCTAGCAAACTTGATGCATGCAGGGTAAAGTTCACTTCTGGAAACACCCAGGAGGAGACTAACCTTCCTCAGGGTGCCTGGCCCTGGTGACAGATCTGCCTGAGACTTCACTGACCAGCTGTGCCACTATGCTTTCATTCACACTTCGGGCAGGCCTGAGCCAAAGCCTTTCCACATCAACAGGAGCTCTTTTCCACTGAGGTCAGTGGCATAAGGAGCAGCACTTGGCTGTTATTCCTCATCACAGCAGTAGCTTTTCCAACTGTTTTCTAAATAAATTTAACACAAGTGACCTATCTACCAGATCAGCAACAATACTAAGCTGGAGCACGGATATTCAATGCTCGTGGGAGTGTGCTGCTGAAAGCCATGGGTCTGTGGAGGCTAAGTGCCATGCAGCACCGAGCTGAGAGAGGTCCCTGCAGCCAGGTTGTTGCTTTTACCTTTGTAGCACCTTTTCATATCTGGGCCCAGCCACATGTTGTCAGGACAGGCACACGTGTACTTGGGGGAATGAGGAGAGATTTTTGGTGCAGGAAGACACAGGTATTCACAGCCTCCGTTAGGCTGGGAGCTGAGTTCACAGGAATCGGGAGCTGTTCAGCAGAGGGGAGAAAACAAATTTATTCTTCAACCGTTGTTCAGCATTTGTCTATTTAGTGCCAAGAAATACAGCTCCCTCCCCTCAGAACCCTGCAACTTCTCCCACCTGCGCTGGCCAGGGCGAGTGCCCTTCCCATGCACTCCCGCACACACTGCACTTCCAAAGCAGGTTGGTGCTGTTTGATGGTTATACAGGTTTCCCTCGCCAACCACGATTTTGAGTATCCATGATTAATATTCTGGATACCAATCTGGCTACCGCAGTATACAGTTTTGAGTAAACACGGTTTTCCATGGCTGCGCACCAGCCTGCCAACCCCCTGGCCCTGCTCTGCCTCTCTTTCCCCCCACCACAGCCCCACCTCCCCCAACCCTACCAGAGGTGCATGCGGTGGCAGGGAGCTGCCTTACCTGCAGTGGCAGGGAACAGCAAGCCTGCTCACTGCTGTTCCCTGTTGTTCCGATTCCCTCCGCCGCAACCCGGCATAATAGGGAGCAGAGAAGCCGCATGGGGCTCTCCTTGCCCGCTGCTGCTTGCCCTGGTGATGCGCCTCCTGTGCTTGCCGCTAGTTTGAGGAGTGCAGCCCTGCACCGCTGCCTTCAGTACAGCCCTACGCGCAGGAGGCACGTCACCAGGGCAATGCGGGGCGAGCAGCAGCAGGTGAGGAGATCCCTCTGCAGCTTCTCTGCTCCTTGCTGTGCCGGGTCATGGGGGAGGAAAGCAAGGCGGCAGGGAACAGCAGGCCCGCTTGCCTCCCCTTCCCTTCCTCCTCCCCCTGCTCCAGGGTAAAAGGTGAACACGCTGGGGGAGATGCTGCTGCTGCGCCCTGGGAGTGCTCTGTCCCCACCCACCAGCGCATACCCCCTATAACCTAAGTACTCCTAGGGGTACACCTACGCCCGGTTAAAGGTAAATAAAAATGATTTTTATATACTATACTGTACAGTATTCAAGTCCCTAATCCCATTTTTCTCATAAGCCTTTAATTTTACTAACCACAGTTTTGCCAACCATGGGAACTTTCCAGGTCCTAAGCCCCATGGTTGGCAAGGGAAACCTGTCGTGGAGAACGGGGGTCAGGACTCTTATTCTTTGTTCTTCCACAGACCTTATGTGTCTGCTGGTTTGAGGCATCAAGCATCAGCCCTGCCCATCCAGGTGCTGGGAGTTGTACGTGCTCAGCACCTCTGCAAGCCAGGCCTGGGCATCTCATGTTGGGCAAATTTTGAGATACATCCCACCCTCTGTCCTGTAGCAGACCTGGCTGCTAAACAAGCTGTCAGTCAGTGTTGTGACCTCACATTTCTTACTGTTTATAAAGCACTCTTAGCTTCCCAGATGGAGGTTTAAAGTGGCTTTGTGGGGTTCCTCGCTTACCCCCCCCGCCCCATGCTGCACATTCAGCACTTTCCATTCCCAAGCAGAACAGTGACTTCCCCACCTGCCAGCTCGCACAGCCGGCCCGGGATTCAAATGTCATGTTTGGTGATGATGATACTAATAAAGACGCACCAGCTGGAGCTTTTGGAGCAGCTTTGCTACCGACACCAAACCACAGAAGCAGCCGCATCCTCAGCTGTGCTGTCTGTAGTGCTACCAGCAGTAACAGGCAGGAGGGTTGATTTTCTCATTGGGGCTGTCTGACCCTGAATTACCTCGACTGAGTAAGAAAGGTCCCATTTGCCATTTTCTTACAATACCGCCAATCTCGAGGCTCATGCTCAGCCCCTTCCTGCACTCGGAGGGAGAAGTGTGATTGCAGCAGTTCACTTACCCGTGCTACCTCTAATCCTAGGACAGGTAACACCAGGAGTGGAAGCCTGGCTGTCATGGGAGGCCTGCAAAAGTCATTGAGGGCCCTGGTTGTTGACTAAGGCAACTACCCTACACCAGCATCAACACTAACATCTTCCTGGCCAGCACAGCCTGAGCCAGAGCATCCACGCTGAACTGGAGTGTGGTTGTTGCACCTCCCAGCTGTAGCAGAGACATGCCCCACAAGGCCAGCAGGTAGCAGGTCCTGGCAGAGCTGCGCAGATAACTCTGAGACTAGACGTTGAAGGAAAGCTGATAATGAAGTGACTACGTACAAGCTGCCAGCTCTATAATGAAAACCGCTGCTGAACAAGCAGACTTCAGGGTTGAGGGGTAACTGCACCTTCAAGGCACTGAGAATAACCTGGAGGTACTTCACATATCAGCCCTGGTGACTGCTGAGTGCCCTGAGGCCCCACCTTACCTTTGGGTTGCTTGAGTTCATGAAAGACCACGATGTCATGTGGGTTGTTGAGATTTTCGGCCAGGATAGAGATGTTCAGCCCACTCAACCTGTTGGCGCTGAAGATGGCCTCATTTTCGAGGTCAGTCCAGAAAATCCTGTCCTGCAGAATAGACACAGGGTAAGTGCAAACCTTCCTCTAGGCCTTAGAAAGCTAGTGTGCTGCAGTGTCTTGGGGCATTGGGCGGGACTGGACTGCTTGCACTGCAGCCTCCTGAATGGAGGGGGACAGCAGGTGACCAGGGGCCTGTTACAGACACCTGGCTTTGCAACGCAGAGGGTTGTCAGCATCACGCTGTCAGCAAGTGCTGACTCACCCAGAATGGCAGCAGGTGCTGGGCAGAGTGCTCCCTGGGGGTGGGCACCAAGTCCCTGGCCTGAATCAGCAATGCAGGGATGTAAACTTCACTCCTCCCTAGCAAATGCACCCAGAAGCATATCCAGACAGAGGAGTGGGCAGGGGTCGGGCCTCCCTGGTCTCAGTCCTGCTTTTTCTTGCTGGAGCTGACCCACTTGGTGAGATGCTGACTTCAGGTCTGTAGTCAGGGAACTCCCCTGGGATGCAACAGATCCGTGGTCAAGTCCTTGCTTCAAATTAGGCAAAACAGGTTTGAAGTTGGGTCTCCCACTTCCCAGGTACACGTCAGGGGGGCAGAAGAGCAGCCAGAGGATTCTGCTTCAGGGCCCCAATGTCACAGCTTTGGCAGCAGAAATGTTGGGATAGCTGCACAATGCCACACAGGGAGACCGAGCTAGCTCCAGAAGCAGCATAACCGTGGTAGCATGAGGCTGTAGAGGAGGACCTGTTAGCTTGGGCACAGCACAGCACAGCACCCACCACCATCCACTGCACGGCCATGCTGGTATAAGAATCTTCCTGTGGCCACTGATGCCGGTTGCAGGTTGTCAGGTAGCAGCACACAAGCACTTAGGGCCCTGCCACACTAAGGGGGGGACATGCCCCAGCCTGCCTTCCCACAGGTCTGTCCGGGGAACAGTAAATGCACGTACCGTGTACATGTGCCGCAATGCAGCATGAGGCTTGGCCCCATGAGCAACATGCCAAGCTGGGAGGAGGCTGGGGGCTCACTTGGAGCAAGCCTGCAGGCTGCTCAGACCACTGGGACATGCCCATTTGAGGCCTTACCTCCTAGGAGAGCCCGAGCACTGTGCAAGTCTGGCTGCTAGCGGGTGGAGAGCTGTGCGGCCTGGCCATTGCATAAGCCCCTCTCCCGGCTCCCAGCAGCCATCTGGCCATTACACAAGACGTTAACTTCAAGTTAAGCCATTAGCCCACTTCAATTATTCAGGTACTGCTTGGGTGCATCTGCTCCCCTGCTAAGGCCATGCATTATGGAAGAGCAGCATGAGGCTGCTCGCAGCTCCTGATGGAGAGCTTGGGGGAACGATCCTCCCCCAAAGAAGGATGGGCTAATGGCTTTTACAGGCTCAGGAGCTTCCTGAGCCATGCACAAAGCAGAGGAGCGGGAACGACCTCATGGCTCCCTGCATCCCATCTCCATGCTCACCTCGAACACGGCCAGGCCAAAAGGGTGGCTTAAATCATCAACTGAAGAGATAAGGACTTTTCTGTTGCTGCCATTGAAGTCAATGCAGGAGAGCAAATGCAGCTTGGAGTCCACCCAGTAGAGACGCTGATTCAGCAGATCTGAAAAAGCAAAGCACAATGAAGCAGAATTACCCGCAGCTCCAGCGCTTCTTGCTCCTGCCCACTATTGTTCCTCTTTTGGCAAAAGAGTTGGTTATTTCTCCCTTGGTCATCGGGCCCTTTTATTAAGCATGATGGCTGAAACCAGGACTCGGTGCCCAGGTATCCTGGGACAGGCCCTCTCAGAGCAGAAAGCAGCTGCCTATTTGTGAGAGGTGCTGAGATCACCAGTCCTGCTTGAGGGAGGGAGGGAGCACTGCCAGGACTGCGCCCCAAGAGGAAAGGGCAAGACCTGGGACAACCGTGCAGAGATGAGAGACTGTGAAGCTGGCTGTACCAGAGCAGTAGCTGGCTCGGTGGATATGTATCGAGCTTCTCCACATTAGTGACCCTCTGTTAGGCCAGAGCTTATTGGCCACGCTTGTGAGACCGACCCAGAGCAGTCTGGGTTTCACAGGAGCACGGTTTTTGTTTTCCTAAGTACCAATATATGTTAAATGTCCAGAGGCCACAAGCACAGGGAGTTTTACCCCTTACACTGCTCTAGCACTTACCCAGGGTGATGCCATTTGGCCACTCGATGTTATCTGTGACCAGCACATGTCGCCCCATGCCGTTGAGCCCAGCCTTTTCGATTTTTGCTTGGTCTCCCCAGTCGGACCAATACATGAACCTGGAAAAGACGCAGAAACAGAAATTTGCACCTCGACTCGAAGGCTGTGCTCAGCGGAGCCGATGCTTTCTACACCAGACCGTGCTCTACCAGCTGACCCTAGGAACCAGGGTTTGAAACTATGCCCGAGTACCAACAGGTGACACGTTGCTGGGATTGCTGCTGGGCCTCCCACCATGCAGCACATCTTGCAAAGACCAAAGGGCCTGCCTAGATTCAAGCATGTCAACAGTCCCACCGAGTGAAATGGAGCTATGCATGCGGTTAAGGGCAAGACCACCTGAAAGACTTGGGGCAAGACTGAGCATTCAGCTGAGAAATGGAAACAAGACGGGAACCTCCCAATTCAGAACAAAGCTCCCTTTTTCAACCTACCCCCGGATTGGATCCACCGCAATGGCCCTGGGCTCACTCAGGTCAGAGCTGAGGAGGGTCCTTCTCCTGCTTCCATCAGCAGTGGCCACGGAGATGGTCTTGTTTCCAGAGTCTGTCCAGTAGATGTTCTTGTGAACCCAGTCTATGGCCAGGCCTTCGGGAGAGTTCAGCTGACTGTCTATCAGAATCACCTGTCCTGCCGTGTCGCTGGCTTTGTCGATGTTGGCACTGCAAAGACAAGAATCCTGACTGGACCGAGGTGCGACGTGCTACGGGCCGGTGCATTATCTGTGGGGTGAGGCTGCACCAGTTACCGAGATAAACATTGGGCAAGGTCATACTAATCTCATAGCAGGCACCATGCTTCACTCCGAATCAGTCGCTGTGGTAACCTTCCCCCTTCCATCCATCTGCATCTTGCTCGGTCAGCCCCTGCGTTTCTGCCCGGATAGATGGCAAACGCTCTGGGACAAGGCCCTGTCATTTTTATGTCTCTTTTGAACCCTCTGTGCACACCCAGAGCAGAATTCAGTTCCCCTTCCTGCGCCTACATGGCAGCTTTCCAGCTGTGCAAATGGTGTTTTTGGCACTTACACCCAGGCAGTGCTGCCCTCTCCCCCGCGGTGTGGATGGGGGAGCGTGCCTGCCCAGACCACGAAGCACAGTAGGCTCTTCACTTTCTACGCGCTGCCCGTCCCCAAAGGGGTTGGCTAGAAACCTCTGCTGGAGGGTGTGGGGGTCAGAGGGATTCTCCTAGGTTTTAGCCCCAGTAGCTGAGCGGTCAGGGCACTTGCCCACAAAGTGGGAGACCTGGGTTCTAGGCTCCCCTCGGCCCAGAGGGGTTCTGGGCCTGAATTGCTGACTGATCACAACGCAGCTCAAGATGTAATGCAGGACCCTCTCCAGTGCTTCTTTTTTTGAAGCTGCCTGCCTGGCCTGCCAACAGGGGGAAATACATGTGTGGGGCCAGTAGGAAGTGCGAAAGCCAGAGGCTGTTGGCTCAGGGAGGCACGTACTGCTTTGGAAGGAAGCACACCTGGGATGCTAGCCTGGACGCTTGCTCCCAATCGGCTGACCTCACCCTTCCCCTCGGCCCTCTATCCATCCATTTCACCTAATGGCTATTAAATGCAAAGGGCAGTGGCTCCGGCTCAAAGATGCTTGCCTCGTGCTGCAGTAGTTAGAGCACCATGTTAGGAAGTCAGAGGCAGGTTCAAGCCCTCTCCAGGTAGGGGGGCCCTAGGACCTGGGTCAGCTGCTGCCCAGGCAAATGAATCAGGGCCTGGCCTGCATGGCTGGTAATTTGCCTTCCAGTAACAGCAAAGGGGTGCCCAGCGATCCGGAGGTTTGCAGTAGTGCTAACACTGCTGTTACTACAAACAGACTGCCTGGGCATGTTCACATCAGTGGCAACCTCCAGATAGCTTTCAGGAGGCTAATTAAATACAACTTCCATCAATCAGGCTGCGAATCCCTTTGCGTGCTCCACGCAGCACCCAGCAAAGCACAGTCTTTTCCACTGCACTTGAGTAGAGCAACTGCTGCAAAGCGAACATAAGAGCACCCTATCTGCCCCAGCAGAACTGAGCGAACTCTGGCCCAACATGCACACTGGGCCAAGACCAGGTCTGTTTTTCTACTGATTGCAAGAAGAATCACATGTTGAAGAGCCAGCACTACAGAGCAAGGGGTTGCAGTCTGCACGTTTGAAACTCCAAGAGCGCACAGCACTCCCGTTCATTGGCCTGAGGTCACGGGTTGAGGAGCTAAGGTCATGAGCTGTAGCTCTTTGTGATGCTGCCCGTCGTGCTAGACCTGGCTGCATTGCAAAGTGCTGCACACGCACAGGAGCAAGTTCAGGAATAGTCTGGAGCTCCCTTGGAAGGAAGGGGCATTTTCTCTCCTCCGAGAACTAAATCTCTTACTGAGACTTGTTAACACACAGGCATGGTGAGGGAATTGTATTCTCTGCCTTGGACATCTCCCAAGAGAGGAATTGGGTGTGAGGGCAGGGAAGACAATGAGCTGGAAATCGGGAGAAGAAAGAGGGACAGCAATTACTTGCCACCCTGCTTGTTCGCACCCTGCTGTGGTGTCTCAGATGACTGATTACAGCTCCTCTAAGGACATGGCAGGAGGAACTCGGCTCCTTCACTGATGTGGCACGAAGGCATGTGCTAGCAGTGGCATCTGCACTATCTTAACCACCAGAGTTAACTGCTAATAGGCGATTATGAGTGACACAGCCCCTCTGAAGGAGATGTAAGGCTTATAGCAAAGCTGAGACACGCATCCTACTGCCTGGATAGAGAAAAGTGCTTGATGTAGCCATGATAAGGGCATGAGCACTGATCCGAGGCTTCAGGCCCTGTGGGCATTGCCGTCAGCATGTTTGGTGTGTTAAATAATTCTATGTCTGAACATGTAATCCTCCCCAGCCCAGCCGAGTATTTTCTAGTACATGAGCCATTCGGCATGAAAGCAGTAAGTGTCCATCCCAACTCTTTGAACTGCCCCCCCAAAGCTGCAAAGGTACCTGGCTCCTCTGAGTGCTTATTAACTCAGCACAAGCTAGGTCACGTTCCCTATCAGTGGGCTGGAAGCTCTGCAGGCGCCCGGCCTTGGTTACAGTTCCCCTGTGCACTGGGGCTAGTAAACCTTGCTCTGATCGTTAGCTGAAAACCAGAACAGATCACCCAAGATACTGCAGCAGGGTGCAACAGCAGTGCAAATCAGAGTGCACAGGAGGGGCTTTTGGTGCATAAATTAAACTCAGCTGAACTTTTGGACTAGATGTATTTGAAGCCTTTGAGCCTGTGCTTCGCATCTCAGCAACATGTGGGCCTGTGTTTCAGCAGATCCCTGGGAGGTAATACACCACTGGGTGTCATAAATATCCCTTGGCAGGGAGAGAGGAATAGGGCACTGCGATTAATACTCTGGGCCAGGAGTCAAGAGATGTAAATGCAAAATGGCAGCAACGTTACTGCTGCAAACAAACCTTGTGTGAGCAAGCCTGGTGACTACACGTGCACGATGCATCTGAACTTTTTGGAAACCTGGGCCATAACGTGGTCAAGTCCAAAAAGGCAGAAGTCTGGCAGGTGTGCGCCCCTTACCAGGCTACTTTGTTCTACTACACAGGGGGCGCCTCTACAGATGTGTGTTTACTGCACAGTAGCCAAAGTTACCGCACAGTAAATATGGCGACTTGTGCTGACTTGAGTGTAAATTTGATACCTGCATCACACAAGTATCAAATTTACACCAGATCAGTTACTGCGCAGTAACGCATGTGTAGACGCCTTACTGCGCAGTAACAGTGTGAATGGACTGACCTGGGACTAAATTTAGTTCATGTGCTTTAATGCCAGTGTTAATGTGCTTTAATGCCTGCATGTGTAGATGCCGGCCTATTCCCACTCACTGCAGTCATTTACTGCCCGGTAAATTTAAGCTGGCGTAAATTCATGTGTAGACACAGCTAGGGTGTCCTTACAGGCTGCTAGTACTGTCAGCAGTTAAAGCTGGACAGGTCCTATGGAAGGTCTCCTCTCCCTGGCCCCTTACCTGTAGATCTTTCTGTAGAACAAATCGCACCAGTAGATCCTGTTTGTTGCCACCTCCACATCCAAAGCTACCACGTTCTTCAGCATGGGGATGATGCGAGAGTAGTCCCTTTTCACCAGGTCTATCTTCCGCACCTCGTGGCGGTTGGTGAAGATCAGGTACGGGCTCTTGCCTACTAGAGAAGACATGTGGGTGTGACTGTTCTCTTCCCAGCCAACTGGACTGCTCAAGCCTAGGGACTGGATTCAGCTTTATCCCCTTGGGAACAAAATGTCGAGTCACCCCGCCCTGGGGTCCCAATAGAGTTACATTGCAGCTATTTGTGGTTTTATGTTGGGAGGGAGTTTCATTCTGTATTGTATTGGCATGTCAGTGGTTCCCAGAAGGGCAGCTGGGAGCACCAGCATCTCTCCAGAGCAGCAGGGACACTTTGGCTCTTATTCTGCTCAACTTTTTGAGACGGCACAAGTGACACACCCAAGGGACTCTTCACCCTAGAGCAGAAGTGTTTAACTAGAAGATCTAGGAGCCAGTTCTAGGTTGTTTGGGGCCAGACAGAGCAAGGCACAGCCAGTTGTTCCTAGCTTGCATGCCAGGCAGGACCAGGCCTGGCTGTCAGAAACACACTGCAGACCTCCTCTGAGGCAGTGGATCTTCTGGATCCACCCTTGGATTCATTCAGCCTAATTATGCAAGAATTAACCTTCTGGCCAGGGAAGCTAGTGTGATGCATTC